AATTACTGTATGTTTATTATGCTAAAAAAATTTGAGTATTTTTTTACGATATCCATTAATATTAAATAACAAGTATTAATCACACCGGTCTATATGAAAATCATGTGTCACATGATTTTTATATAGACCGGTGTGAATAACTTAGAAAAAAAAGCACGGGTTGTTACATAGTGCCCATGAGATAAATAAATGTTCATACCTGATTCAAAAATAACAAAAAAAATATTAAAAATGCTAATAAAAATATGTGATATTAAAAGGACACCTGATTCTTTTTTTGCAACGCAAATTAAGTGTATAAAGTAGGTGAAATGTATCAAGCAGTGTAATATGGATAGTGTAATAATAGAAGCCAGAGTTTGGCAAAAGAATTTTTAACTTAACTTGAATCTGCAATTTTAAAAAAATGGATACTCAATATGTTAGCTGCGATACTCAAAGAAAACGTGAGAAAAGAAAGAATGAAACACCTGAACAATGTGAAATATGCCAAATTCGAGATCACAAAAAAAAACATGCAAAGAGAGCGGCGGAAATGTCAGAAGAGCGAGAAGTGTGTCTTACAAACTATTGTAATTGTTATCAAAAACAGTGAAAACAAATGGCAAAAGCTGATAACGAAAGCAGTGAACAGATGAGACAAGAGAATGAATTGAATAGTGAGGAACAGCAAGCGCAAGATGGTAATATCCAAGAGATTCTAATTAATACAACTACAGATGCTAATAATGATAGCAGTGAACAGATAAGACAAGAGAATGGATTAAATAGTAAGGAACAGCAAATGCAAGATGGTAATGTTCAAGAGATTCAAATTAATACAGCTACAGATGTTAAGCCATTCCCTGCTGCTGTTCTTAATGAGCTTGATCGAGACCTTCTATGTAAATTTTGAAATAAAATGGATAAGGTCAAATATGCTTTTTGTCCCATATGCAATGAGAGCTTTCCATCAATAACTCTTGTCAGGAGAGAATGTCATCAATGTTACAACGAAAAGACCTTACCAAAAAAGTTTTCTGGTGAAAACAACATAGATCCCAGAAAAGTATCTCAAGAATTGCAAGGACTTACAGAGATTGAAGAAATGTTAATTGCTCAAGTCTTCCCTGTAATGTCAGTCTATAAACTTTGTGGTGGGCAGTATGGGTATTGTGGAAATATAATAAACTTTCTGCAGGATGTGTGAAAGTTTACTACTCATCTTCCTCAAAGTCCATCATCATTGGATATGTTAATAATACGCCACCAGTCCATAAGGTCAACATTGTTTAGAGATTTTCAGGTTCGACGCGAGAAGGTTACTCAAGCATTACTGTGGTTAAGAGAAAATAACCAGTATTATTCTGAAATTGCTATCAATGAAGAAGTTTTTCAATCCTTACCTATGAATGGTTATGTTGATGATCAGCTCACAAATAATTAAATAGCAACTGAGAAATCAGATAATGAAGCTGAGGATGATTTAATTTCATGCACTTTTGTTTCATCACCTCCACCAGTTTGTAGAGAAGATATAGCTATTAACGAAACTCTTAGCCATATGCAAAGTAAGAGTAATCCTTTACTATGGCCAAATATAGAAAATACACCTATTAACAAATTTAGGACACCGGGCTATATTGACGTGCTTTTCTAATGCTTTACCTGACAGAACATGGTGATCTTTGCTCTGAACGCATTAGAGATATTAACCCAGCTAAATATTTCAAACACTTGTTGAAATATAAAGATGGGAGATTCGCACAATATACACGGTGATATTTTGTATTAAATTCTACAATGCGATGGCGTGCACTACAGGAAGGAAAGATGTATGTTAAGCAACAACTAAGTGATGAGCAATTTACAGTTAAAGATGTTCAAGACATGATTTCTCAAGGAATAAATATGTTGCAGATCACATTATGTGATACGGAGAAGGATTGTGTAAGTCATGACAATTTTGGATGGCGAGACGTCATGAACTCTCAGACATGATTAAACAAATAGGTTCCAAAGGACTCATGTTTTTTATATTTAGTGCTGCCGACTTTCATTGGCCTGAGCTCCATGATCTTATTACGCCTATCATAAATTCTGCCAATGCAACTGAGTTTAGTCATCAACAAAATGTAATTGATAATCCACATATTGCAGCTTAGTTCTTCAACAAGCATTTCGAAACTTTTTTTAATGATGTATTAAAGCAGCAATGAGATCTTGAAGATTGGTGGTATAGATTCAAATAGCAGCATCGTGGTAGTATTCACGTTCATAGAATTGGAAAACGAAGAAATGTACCCGTAATCAATTGGGCACAGATAAAAAATGATGAAAAAGTAATAGATGAAGTTGTTCATTATATTGATACTTTAGTATCCACGATTAATCCTAATATTAATGCACCAGTTCCAGAACGTCATCCATGTCAAAAAAGAAGAGAAGAGCTTCATGATGACCTACAAGATTACATAGAATTAGTTAACAAATTACAAAGGCATACATGATGTAGCCTCTCATATTGTCTTCGTGTTGCTCAATCAGAAAAACAATTCTGTAGGTTCGGATATCCTATAGATACTACTGATCATACTATCGTGCGTGATGATGGACACAACAAACCAGAAGTTATTATAGCAAGAAATGATCCATTAATCAATCTGCATAATCGACTTCAACTTCAAGGCTGGAGGGCAAATATAGATATCAAGCCAATTCTCAGTACACATACTGCTGTACAATACATTGCAAAGTATACAAGCAAAGCAGAACTACAATCAGCAACGTTTTCTGATATATTAAACCAAATCCTTCAAAACAACAATCCAGATAATTTATTACTTTCTTCTGTTCAAAAACTACTATTGCATAGTGTTGCTGAACGTGATGTTTCTGCTCAGAAAACCAGCCATCTCTTTTTAGGTATTCCACTCTACCATTCAAGTCGAACATTTGTTTCCTTGAATCTTAACAACAAAGCACTACGATGGATTCGTGATAGTGGTATTAGAGAAAATGGAGAATATGAAAATTTCAATGATATAGAGTGCACAGTAAAGTCACATTTAAAATTATACTGGGAACATCCTATAGAATTAGAAGATTACACGTTATTTAGGCTTAATTTAACACATAAGTTTAGCCAAAATAAATAAAGTAAATGCGATCATGAAATGTAATACAAATTTTTCAATAGCCTTCACCCTTATGCAATAGTCCCCAATGGGAGGAGTTTTGTCATTTAAAAGTTATTCTCCATGTTCCATATAGAGATATTGAAGAACTGAACAACAACAGAATTATTAAATGGTCAATTTTATATAACAGGTATTATAAAGACATCAATAAGGAACCAATCAACCTACTTGGATGCCATATAGACACAGAAGTTGATCATAATGATGATGATAATGATGATCAGAGTGAACAACCAGATGATAATGAACAGGAAGAATTCAAATTAGATTGGATATTATTGGCAGAAATGGGACCAAATGCAGTAATAAATGAATATTGTGATATTGGATCTTGTAATATAGATCTTACACATAATTGGATCGATGATGCTATACAACGCTACTCTGATACTGATCTTGCGAATATTGACACATTCATGTGGCAAGCATCACACGATAACTGTCAGATGGAAAATGTAAATATAAATACAGATGTTGTGGATCTGCAAACTCTGAATGAAAATCGAATGAAAGTGTTCAGGTGAATCGAATCACATTATCATAGTGTACTCACAGGTCATAATGTCGAGGCATTAAAAATTATAATATTAGGAACAGCAGGGATGGGTAAATCGTACTTTATAAAAGTGGTTCGACACACAATTCAACAAATGGCAAGAAATGAGTCTAAGTCACCAGTACTTGTACTTGCTCCAATGGGCGCTGCAGCATTCAACATTAATAGTATGACGATCTATTTAATGCTTTTAATCGCAATAAATGATGGTAATAGTAACTTGGATCTAAATGGAGAAAGATTAAAGCAGTTACAAAAGAGGTTAGAAGGTATAATATATGTGATTATAGATGAGAAAAGTATGGTTGGACGACAAATACTCGGTTTAATTGACATGCGTCTATGTTAAGCTTTTCCCGAAAACAGAAATGAACTCTTTGGTGATAGATCTGTTATTATAGTTAATGATTTTGGTTAACTTCCACCAGTACTCAATCTTCCTATGTATATCAATGTTAAGCAAGATGCTTTGTTAAATAATGGTTATGCTGCATACAAACAATTCAATGAAGCATACAAACTTGATGTAGTTCAGAGACAATCAGATGATTCAGAAGAACAAAGAAATTTCAGAAACATTCTTTTACGACTTCGTGATAGAGAATCTACTATAAATGATTGGAAGATACTTATCACACAATTTGAAGAAAAATTATCAAGAGTAGAACGTAAACAATTCTCAAAAACTACTTATATTCTACCTAAGTGGTTAGATGTTGATAGTGTAAATATAGACAAACTTTGAGCTCTAAACATTCCAGTTGCAAAAATTAAGGCTATACACACTGGTGATCACAGGTTGAATAAATGAATAACGGGTACATATTGGGAGACAAATCTCCTGATATGTACCCGTTATTCTACCATAGATCCACCAAATAACTGTAGCATAACAGTAGCATAATGGTAGCATATATGTTAGATATCGAGAGGTAGATCGATAATGGTAACATAACAGTAACATACTGGGACATCCCAGTATCTTACTCTTAACACTATTTGGACTAAAAGTAAGATACCGGGATGTCCCGGTATGTTACTGTTATGTTACTGTTATCGATCTACCTCCTGATATCTAACCTATATGCTACTATTATGCTACTGATATGCTACAGTTATTTGGCAGATCTACGGTAGAATAACAGGTACATATCGGGAGATTTGTCTCCTGATATGTACCTGTTATACATTGATTCAACCTGTGGATAGTGAGGCAAAAAAAGCCGATTTGGAAACAGTGCATGGTCTAGAAGCACAATTGTTAATTGTACGAGATGCACGTATAATGCTTACTGCAAATATTTGAACAGAATCTGGGCTCATTAACGGTTCTTTGGGAACAGTTCATGATATCTTGTTCAAAGATCAGAGACCCCCTTCTCTCCCTTTAGCAGTTTTTGTAGCCTTCGATTGCTACAGAGGATCTACAATTACTAACTTAGAAGGCTCAAAAGTAGTTCCAATTACACCAATTAGATGAAACTGGGAGGGGAAAACAGGAAATGCATGCTTACGTACACAGATCCCACTTCGTCTTGTGTGGGCTGTCACAGTTCACAAAAGTCAGGGGCTCACGTTGCTGAAAGCTTTTATTTCTCTTGGCAACAAAGAATTTAGTGCAGGACTTTCTTTTGTGGCAGTGTCTCATGTTCGTTCACTTAGTGATCTTCTTTTCAAGTTGTTCAATTTCAACAGAATAGATCGAATTAAAACTTGTAGAAGGTTACAAGAAAGAAAAACTGAGAAAAGAAGATTAGTTTCCCTTATACCTAGAAATTAAAGAAAAGAAATAGTAGTTTAAAAAATATAAAGCAGCTAAAGCAATAAAACTTTGATTGTCTATTTCATAAAATTGCGATCTAATTGTAATAAAAGTACAGTACTGTGAATTTTACAATGAAATATAAACAAAATGCAGAACACAATTGTAATAAAAGAAGTACAATACTGTAAGTAGAATTGTACAATAAAATATAAAATGTATAAATCAGGTTTTACAAAATGCAGAAAGAGGCAAGAAAAATGTCAATTACTGTTTATAAAATACAACAATAGGAAGAATTACGCAACACATGTGCGAACAGACATGAAATTTCAAAAGTATGTTATTGATGCTAAAGCTTAAATAAGAAAGCAAAGTGAATTAAAAAGGTAGTTGTT